TCGATAATTTCCTTTTCCTCTTTTTCTTCATCTTGTGGGACCGGTTTAACTATTGTTAATTCTTCCACAGTTTCTTCAACCTTAACTTTCTTTTTTGGCTTCTTCTTAAGCGGTATAGAAGTTTGAACATCATCTGATTTTTTAACTTCGACAAGTTCTGCTTGTTTATGAATCGTATCTTCTTCTGGTGTTTCGTCAATACTTGGCTTCTTCTCGGGTTTCCGTTTTATTGCAACCTCTTCTATAATTTCTACATCTACTATTTCTTTTTCTAATGGAATTTCCTTTTCCTCTTTGTCTTCATCTTGTGGGACTGGTTTCACTATTGTTAATTCTTCCAGAGTTTCTTCAACCTTCACTTTGCTTTTTAGCTTCTCATTAAGTAGTGTATCATTGTTAATGTCTTCCGGTTTTTCAACATTTACTATATCGGTTGGTGTTACAATTGTAGTTTTATCCGATTCTTCAAGTTTTGCCAAATCAATTAATTCATCTATTTCGTCAGGTTCTAAAGGCTGTTTGCATTTCTTGATAGGCTTTTCTTTTTTAATAATATCATCTTGTCTGGAAATTATATCGTTTTCTGTCTTTGCTGCTGTTTCATTTGCCGAAGGTTTTAACAAAATTTCTTCAGGAATTTCATCAGGTTTATCTTGTACTGGAACTCTAAATTTAACGTCGGTATCATCTTCTAATTTTTTGGGCTTCGGTTCACCCTTCAATATTGGAATATGATCGATTTCCTGATCTTTTTTCTTTTTGTCGGGGCGTTTGTACTTTTCTCGAGGTCGTTCAGGCGATTCATCCGTTGGTTTTTCTTTCTCTTCCGGTTCATATTTTTCAAGATCCACGTTATCAACATCACTCGGTTTAAAGTTTAATGGTTGTATAGTAGTCTCTGGTTTATCTTCTTTTTCTTTATCGACATCCATCGGTTCATCTATTAATTTTGGTTTTTTCTCCTTCTTGTCAACAGATTTCTCTTTCTTCTCGGGGACTTTCTTTAAATGTATATCTTCTGGTACACTGTCATCTTTAGGGATTTTACCTTTACCTAATTTTAATTTCTTATCCTCTTCCGATGGTTGATCTTTCGGCGTCTTTTTTCGTTTCTCGTAAGGCATTAAATCATCTACCTTCTCCAGAGGTTTCTTTTTCAAATCATCAAATTCTTTATCCAGTTCTTCTAGGTCAATGATATCTTTACCCGGTAACTTTTTCTTCTTATATTTCTTCTTTAAAATTTTTTCCGCTTCATCTATATTTCTCGATAGAATACCACTTTGAAGGGGATTTTCTTCTAATATCGTTAATATTGGTATTTGTAGTGGTGTTGGCCAGTCTGATATGAGGATGATTCTGCTTTTTAATCGAATCTTCGGTACTTTAACAGCTTTCGATTCTTTCCTCTTTGGAATAGTCACCTTTTTCAATTTCATTCCAGGATATTGAGCTACTTCAGTAGGTTCGGTAATTTTTAATTTAATAGGCTTTATTTCTTTTCTTTCAATTTTCATAGGTACAAGCTTTTGCAGTTCTGGAGTTCTCTTCTGCTTATCTTTTGGCTTCTTTGTATCCCATTGAATTTTTTCTGGCATCGGTTCCAATACGGCTGGAGTATATTCCGGTTCTACCCATTCTTCGTAATCAGCTTTTTTCTTAACTGGTTTTTTCTTCTTTTTGCCAATTTTGCTTATTTGTTGTTCAGTAATATCTGCAAGTATTATATCTGGTACATTTTTAGGTATCTCGAGTATGCCAGGTTTTATTTTTTCATATTTTTCAATTTGTTCATTACAAATTTCAGCTGCTGTAATTGGGCTTGATGTATTATCTTCCGGTTTATCGTAAAGCATGTCTTTGTTCAACTCGTTTACTATTTTCTGTTTCTTCTTCTTTTGTAAAGGCATTTTTATATTATCTGTATTAGCATCCTGTTTCTGATCTAATGGTTGCAGTCCTATTTGTTCGTCAATATCCATTTTTTCTTCATGCATAGGTTTTTCTTTAGTCCAAGGTTTTAACAAAATTTCTTCAGGAATTTCATCAGGTTTATCTTGTACTGGAACTCTAAATTTAACGTCGGTATCATCTTCTAATTTTTTGGGCTTCGGTTCACCCTTCAATATTGGAATATGATCGATTTCCTGATCTTTTTTCTTTTTGTCGGGGCGTTTGTACTTTTCTCGAGGTCGTTCAGGCGATTCATCCGTTGGTTTTTCTTTCTCTTCCGGTTCATATTTTTCAAGATCCACGTTATCAACATCACTCGGTTTAAAGTTTAATGGTTGTATAGTAGTCTCTGGTTTATCTTCTTTTTCTTTATCGACATCCATCGGTTCATCTATTAATTTTGGTTTTTTCTCCTTCTTGTCAACAGATTTCTCTTTCTTCTCGGGGACTTTCTTTAAATGTATATCTTCTGGTACACTGTCATCTTTAGGGATTTTACCTTTACCTAATTTTAATTTCTTATCCTCTTCCGATGGTTGATCTTTCGGCGTCTTTTTTCGTTTCTCGTAAGGCATTAAATCATCTACCTTCTCCAGAGGTTTCTTTTTCAAATCATCAAATTCTTTATCCAGTTCTTCTAGGTCAATGATATCTTTACCCGGTAACTTTTTCTTCTTATATTTCTTCTTTAAAATTTTTTCCGCTTCATCTATATTTCTCGATAGAATACCACTTTGAAGGGGATTTTCTTCTAATATCGTTAATATTGGTATTTGTAGTGGTGTTGGCCAGTCTGATATGAGGATGATTCTGCTTTTTAATCGAATCTTCGGTACTTTAACAGCTTTCGATTCTTTCCTCTTTGGAATAGTCACCTTTTTCAATTTCATTCCAGGATATTGAGCTACTTCAGTAGGTTCGGTAATTTTTAATTTAATAGGCTTTATTTCTTTTCTTTCAATTTTCATAGGTACAAGCTTTTGCAGTTCTGGAGTTCTCTTCTGCTTATCTTTTGGCTTCTTTGTATCCCATTGAATTTTTTCTGGCATCGGTTCCAATACGGCTGGAGTATATTCCGGTTCTACCCATTCTTCGTAATCAGCTTTTTTCTTAACTGGTTTTTTCTTTTTCTTTTCTATTCCATCTTTGGCTTTGATTTCATCTGTAATGTTTGATGTTTGGGGAGCATATTCACTTTCATCTTTTGTCACTGAATGAGGACTTTCTAATGTAGGTGTTAGGACTTCTTTAACATTTTTTATTTGGTCATCTAGATAAATTTCCGTATCTATTTTCTTTTCAGTATTTTCGATAATATTTTTCGATAATTCTTCAGGAAGTACAGATTGTTCTATTTTAAACGCTACCTTCTTTTTTTTTGTTTTTTTATCGAAACTTTTTGCTTTTGTTGTTACATTATTTTTATCAGATTCTAAATAATCGTCTGTTACCTTGATATTTTCAACTATTTGATCTCCTATCATACTGTCGTTGATTTCAGTAACAGTAATTTCTGGAAATACTTCTGTTGCATCAGTACTTTCCCGAATACCACTGTTTGCATCCACTATTTGGCCTTGTTGTTTTGTTTCTATACATAATTTATCAGCAGAAATATCTTGTGAAAGAGTTTCAACAAGTGGTCCCATATCATTCATGGATTCTACTAATGATACTTCTTCGTTTGCTTTATCGGTAACTGGTTTAATTTCATGAATATCTTCAAATATATCAGGGATCTGATTTTCATTTGATTGTGTCGCGTGCTTTTCCTTTAATTCAACAGTATCATTGGTTTTTGGTTTCTTTTTCTTTAATTTTTTCGTAGGTGATATGTTATCACTTTCCTTTATATCTTCTTTTGGTAATTGAATATCCTAAAATCAGTAATAAAATTGATTTAATTTATTTATATTTACTTATATTCGTAGGGCTCGAGAAATCTATTGAATGGTAAAACTATGAAGTTGTATTGAATTTAATATTTTATAATTATTATTAAATAAAAAGATGTACCCAAGATTTAAAAGTTACATATTCTATAGAATTTCAGTAGTATCAATAAAATTATATTCTTTTAAATATAATTTATATAGTTTATACGCATAATTTAATTTTTTTTAGAAAGGGAAAATCGAAAAGTGCATGACAATTGAAAGCTTGATTGAATCCACTGATAATTCAATGCATACAAAAACGTATATTTACGTTATGCTATTTGTAACTTAAAACAATTATGACGATTCTAAGATTAAAAAAATAGAATAATATTTAATAATGAATTATGCAATATTAATCCTATTTAAATAATTAAAAATCATTAGAATGTAGATATAGTTTATCTGGCATATTTAAAAGTTTAGTTATCATCTATGAAACCTAAGAATAGAATAGAATTCTCCATAAAGATATAATGTATATCGATTAAGATAAACTTTGAGTATATAATATTAGTATTTTACTATTATCCAAATATAGTATAGGATGGTATTTATTATATTGAACATAACTTTTCCATTTTGCATTCGACAAATTTTTTAATCGTATTACCGATATTTCAATAGATATTTTTATATAATTGTTAAAATTATGCAACGTTGTACAAAACTTATTTAATTGAGCCATTATATTTATGTTTTATCAATTAAATAACAAATATTTGTGAATATCATTTAAACTATTCTCTATTATTAATAACGAAAATACTGTATATAAAAAAGTATTAATTTATTAATATATCCTATAATTATTAATATAATTATTGATAAATTTAAGAAAATACATTTCTATTGCATAATTAAAAATATACAGATTATAAATATAACGTAATAGAAACATTTCACAGCTTCAATCATTTAGAATCTTTTTATAATATTATCTAAAATTTGTTGTTTAATTTAATTATCGTAACTGAACAATATATTTTTTAAGTTTAGTGTAATTTGTTAATCTGTGTAACAAATTTTATTACATTACTATATATTTTTCTTATCACAATGAAAAAATTTAGAATTTATGTTTCATAATTTAATTTACATTTATTTTTATTTATTATAATTATTCTTAATTTTCAATACTATAGTGAGATAAATTTATTTTAATAAATAATCAATGTTAGGATAATTTGTTGATAAATATATATTTGGTAAAAAGAAAACAATTATCAAAATTCTTCTTATACATTTAAAAAATGTAAATATTATTTAAGTAGTATAAATTATTCAGAAATGTAATAAAAATGATATTCAAAACTGTAGATCGATAAAAATTATTAATATAATTAGAAAAATCATGTAATATATATTTTATTTCATATAAGTTATAAAAGAAAATAACATCCTGATATATAAATTTTATAGACTTTGTTAATAAATATACGAATAAAACAAGTAGATAAAGCAAACAAAATTGAATAAAGTACATTTTCTGTGAATATCAATTTTATTGATTATCTATTTTTTACCATATAAATATAATGTAAATAATAAACATATTATATTAAACAATAATAATAACTCTATATATGTACACTGAAGATTTAGTCTTTATGTTTAAAACGAGCATTAAGCTAATAAAATTTATATTATGATAATTAACATTTTAAAATATGGATTTTCCATACTATTTATATAGAAGTCAACGTTCATTTCATTTATTAAAAATTATAATTAGTATCGTGTTTATTTATGAGTGCTTTTTCAGCTAAACTATCAATATATATTCATTATTCATATTCTGCCTATAATGCAATTAAATGTAAAAATATAAAAATACTATTATCTAACATATCGACTAACAGATGTATAATTAAATTAAAAAACTCGAGCCCATAAAAACAACAACAAATCTTTAAACTTACGTCATTCTTTATTGTGTCGAATTCACCTAAAAAATAAATTTATGTTTATTTAAGTTTATAAAAATTATTCAAAATACAGAAATATTTTATTTGATTGTGGAACATTTTGTAATTATATAATGACGCTGTGAATTAGTTTTTCGATAGATCAGTGAGGCAACTCACCTTCATATGTTTTATTCTCATCTTGTATTGGCAGTTTTCTATGTTTAGGTGTTTTGTATAGAGGTTGTGAAATGTCTTGTGTGTAATTTAATTTATTGACAGAATCATTTTCAGATGGACTAATAGTTTTGTCAAGACCTTCAAACTTTGTATCTTCAATTTTCAATAATGTTGATTCATTTTGTTTCTGCCAAGGTTTCAAAGTTATTTCTTCAGGAATTTCATCAGGTTTATCTTGTACTGGAACTCTAAATTTAACGTCGGTATCATCTTCTAATTTTTTGGGCTTCGGTTCACCCTTCAATATTGGAATATGATCGATTTCCTGATCTTTTTTCTTTTTGTCGGGGCGTTTGTACTTTTCTCGAGGTCGTTCAGGCGATTCATCCGTTGGTTTTTCTTTCTCTTCCGGTTCATATTTTTCAAGATCCACGTTATCAACATCACTCGGTTTAAAGTTTAATGGTTGTATAGTAGTCTCTGGTTTATCTTCTTTTTCTTTATCGACATCCATCGGTTCATCTATTAATTTTGGTTTTTTCTCCTTCTTGTCAACAGATTTCTCTTTCTTCTCGGGGACTTTCTTTAAATGTATATCTTCTGGTACACTGTCATCTTTAGGGATTTTACCTTTACCTAATTTTAATTTCTTATCCTCTTCCGATGGTTGATCTTTCGGCGTCTTTTTTCGTTTCTCGTAAGGCATTAAATCATCTACCTTCTCCAGAGGTTTCTTTTTCAAATCATCAAATTCTTTATCCAGTTCTTCTAGGTCAATGATATCTTTACCCGGTAACTTTTTCTTCTTATATTTCTTCTTTAAAATTTTTTCCGCTTCATCTATATTTCTCGATAGAATACCACTTTGAAGGGGATTTTCTTCTAATATCGTTAATATTGGTATTTGTAGTGGTGTTGGCCAGTCTGATATGAGGATGATTCTGCTTTTTAATCGAATCTTCGGTACTTTAACAGCTTTCGATTCTTTCCTCTTTGGAATAGTCACCTTTTTCAATTTCATTCCAGGATATTGAGCTACTTCAGTAGGTTCGGTAATTTTTAATTTAATAGGCTTTATTTCTTTTCTTTCAATTTTCATAGGTACAAGCTTTTGCAGTTCTGGAGTTCTCTTCTGCTTATCTTTTGGCTTCTTTGTATCCCATTGAATTTTTTCTGGCATCGGTTCCAATACGGCTGGAGTATATTCCGGTTCTACCCATTCTTCGTAATCAGCTTTTTTCTTAACTGGTTTTTTCTTTTTAGATTTCTTTCTAGTAACATTAATATCAATGTCCTCATCATTGGTTGGTATAATAAGAGTTTTTTCGTCATATATAATTTCCTCTTCTGGAAAATTGTTTATTAATGTAATTGGTATTTTATCAGCTTCTTTAACCGTTATTATTTCAGTTACTGATTGCTTAGGTCCTTTTCTTTTTACGATTCTTTTTTTAGTTGTTGTTATATTTTTTTCTTCTGGCGTTAATTCTTGTGTAATCATTATTTGTTCTTTTATTTGTTCTAATTCTTCAGGTTTTTGAGATTCTGTAATTGGAAGTAAGTCGGTACTTTCCTCATGTATAATCAACTCCTCTGGAACTTCTTGTTTGGAAATTATGGGCTCCTTACCTTCTTCTTCGATTTTAATGATTTCAGTTATTGATTGTTTGGGTCCTCTCCTTCTGGTTATTCTCTTTTTAGTTATTTTTTTATCTTGTCCTTCAGGTGTTATTTCTTGTGAAACAGTGATTAGTTCAGATACCTCTACATGTTCTTTAATTTTATCATCTTTTGTAACGGGAATTAATTCTGTTATTTCATCAAAGATTATTTCTTCATTTGGAACTTCATTTACAATAATAATTGGTGCTTCTGTTCCTTCTTCTTCTATCGTTACAACTTCAGATAATGATTCCTTAGGCCCTTTCCGTTTTTTAACTATTTGTTTTACAGTTTGCTTATGCTTTTTTTCCTGTGTTATTTCTTGCATAATAATTGTTTGTTTCATAATTTCAGCTGTTTCTCTTGATTTTGCGTATTCAGTTACTGGAAGTAAACCTGTTGTTTCCGTAAAGATAATCTCTTCTTCTGGGACCTCATTAATAAAAGAAATTGGATGCTTTCCATGTTCTTCAATTGTAACCATTTCCGTCACAGATTGTTTACGTCCCTTTCGCTTTGTTACTCGTTTCTTTGTTGTTTTCTTATCTGTTCCTTCTGGTATTTTTTCTAATAAAATAGTTATTTGTTCTGAAATTTCTGCAGTTTGTTCAGGTTTATTATATTCAGTGACAGGAATTAATTCTGTTCTTTCATCAAATACAATCTCTTCTTCTGGAGCTTCTTTTACAAATGTTTTTGGTGGTTTTCCTGCAACTTCAACTGTTACTAATTCTGTTACTGATTGCTTAGGTCCTATGCGTTTAGTGGTTCTTTTTTTCAATGTTCTTTGTTCTTTTCCTTCTTGTGTTACTCCTTGTGTAAGTGTTACTTGTTTCGACACTTCCACAGGTTGTTCTGCTTGTGCACTTTCAGTGACAGGAAGTACACCTGTTGATTCACTGAAAATTATTACTTCTTCTGGGACTTCATTAATAAATGTAATTGGTATTTTACCGTCTTCTTCAATTTTTATTATTTCAGTTACTGATTGTTTTCTTCCCTTTCGTTTTGTAATTCGTTTTTTAGTAGTTTTTTTTTCTTTTCCTTCTGGTGTTGTTTCATGTACAACTGTTATTTGTTCTTTTATTTCGGCTGTTTCAGTTGGTTTCACGTACACAGTCGATGGAAGTACGCCTGTTGTTTCATCAAAGATAACTTCTTCTACCGGTGTTTCATGTACAAAAGAAATTGGTTTCTTTCCTTCTTCATGAATTATAATCGTTTCAATTACTGATTTTCTGCGGCCTTTTTGTTTTATTGCTTTTTTCTTAATTGTCTTTCTATCTTTACCTTCCGACGTTACATCTTGCATAACTAGCACTTGTTCTTTAATTTCTTCACTAGCAATAGGTTTACAAAATTCAGTCATCGGTAATAATCCCGTTGTTTCTTCGAATATAACTTCTTCATCGGGTATTTCATTAATAATTATTTTTGGTGCTTCCCCTGCTTCTTCTATTTTAACAATTTCGATCACTGATTGTTTTGATCCTTTACGTGTTGTTATCCGTTTTTTAGTTGTTTTCTTTTCTTTTTCAGCCGGCATTATTTCATGTACAAGGGTTATTTCTTCCTTGACTGTTTCTATTTCCTTAGGCCTTCCATATTCCAATGTTGCAAGTACCCCAGTTGTCTCATCGAATATAACTTCTTCTTCTGGAACTTCATTTACAAAGCATAATGGCAATTTATCCATTTCATCTATTGTAATAATTTCAGTAACCGTTTGTTTATTACCCTTTCTTTTTGTAACTCTTTCTTTAGTTGTTTTTTTATCATTTCCAGTTGGTGTTAGTTCATGTACGACTGTTACTGTTTTAGTAACTTGTTCAACTTCTTTTGGTATACCATATTGTAATTCTGGGAGTAAACCAGTTGTTTCATAAAAAATAACTTCTTCTTCTGGAACTTCATTAATAAATGTTATTGGCGTCATTCC